AACATATGCTTGAATAGTTGGCAGTTCATTCCGCTGTGGTGACCCCTGATGAATAAAGCAACTAAGCCGAAGAAAAATAAATGAATGAATGACTATGACATGCTATTTTACACTTGGTTATTTAATTTCTGCACCTGAATTCTTACAAAATGGAGCTAGTTAAGCGATCTGGTGAAATTCATATTGCAGAAAAACTAAAGATTGTTCCAATATTGCGCTGCCCTAGTGTCAAGTCAACATTAGAGTGTACACTAGGGATGCACCAATACCGGTACTTGGATCGGATATTGGTTCGATATCGCATATTTTTGGATATCGGTCAATCCAAATCAGATCTTGCGCATGCGCTATATTCTGTGTAATTTATAAGCCAACAACAGCCATGAGGTAGCCTATTATAAGGCACTAGAAAGTTGTCATGTAGGCTACTATATCCTAAATCAGGAGTTTTCAACTGGTTTGGCCATGGGACCAGCATTTTAACATGGTCAACAAGCCGCGACCCAAATTTTTAGGAACTATAATACAATTTTAGGAATTATAATTAATTTGTATTTATTGGTTAACATACACAAGTAGTGACAGATACATCATAAGAAATTCACCAAGACTTACAAATAAACACTATTTTATTGGTATTATTTAACAAAATGTATCAAATTATCGAAATATTACAAAGTAAACACAACAAATACTGTAAACAGTGGTTAGGGTATGGAAAGGTTCAGTTACTATGAACTGAACTGTTAATAAAACATGTTGTGTGGTTTCTAAATGTCGTTTTAATTCAGAAGGTTTCATGCTCTATTGTGAGAGCACCTCGCTACTTCTGACACACCGAGGTTTTAAGTCTTTTTTGTCGTCAATATATGTAAATCCATACTTTACATATTCAGGGTCGTACTTGCGCTTGGACATACTTGTTGCTAAATTAAATGAAATTTCACATGTCAAACGGTAGAGCTGTCATGCACGCATTTCAAAATAAAAGTCAAAATAAGTTAAAAATTAAACTTTTGTTGTTTATTTGACCACACACACGACCCACCAGTTGAGAAACTCTGTCCTTAATGTTCTGAAGCTATTCTATAGTTCAGGGGTTTTCAAACTGTGGGTCACAACCCACTAGTGGGTCGCATAGTGAACAAAGGTGGGTCGCGCAACGTCACGTAGCTGACCGCAGCTATATTTAGATTGCGGCAAATCAAAACCAGTACGATTGATGGCAATAACTCAAAAACTTCTTACCCTAAAAATATATAAAGTGTGCTTCCACAAAAAGACAAAGCTGGTTATGTTTCACAGCGATCTTTTTAATTTTTTTTGCTCAACATTACGAGCACTGCTCCGTTAGAGCCCTCGCAATCTGCGTTTAGCTGGAAGAGCTCGTGCAGAGCGGAGCTCTCAGTAAGGGACCGTCAGAAAAGTTGCTTTTTCTTTCTTTTCTTTTTTGCTCCGTCCTGCGTGTTTTATTTCAAACACTACTAATTTTCTCTTAAATGAGCACAAACAGTTACTAAAGTAGTCGAATGCTTCACTATAGATCTGTGCATTCTTACATGAACACCTCTGTTATTAAACAAAACACAATGAGAGATTCACTAGCTGCTCTTCACTAAATAACTATAGTAACTTTAATCAATATGCAAATACAATTAAAAGTGAAGTAGATTTTATAGCTTTATTTAATTTCTGGATAGGCCATTGATTATAATAGGCTAAACCTTTTATTTTATTGTCAATATATTCTATTGTTTGCTGTGTATTTTATCATTTGAAGCTATTTGTTGTCCCATATTTTTTACATTCCAACGTTGACAGATTGCTAATCAATAAATAGCTATAGTGCTATCTGTTAGTTTTAATGTCAGCTAATGTTATGGAAGGGCATAGATGTTATGGAAAATAGTAATAGTAATGTAACTACCCCCATCATTCCTTTCTCAAGCAAATGTGTAAATATTAGATCTATTCAGCAATAACGTTAATTGCATTGGCATATTTATCTGACGTTTTCCCAGCTTGTAGTAGTCGATCAAAAAGCTATTTAGTTTATGACTACACTATCAGTGGAATTTACTGCGATGTGACGGGGCTTGATCATAATCTAGGGGCTTGATCAAAGGTCGATCATATTCTCTTCTGAAAAAAGAAGAGTATCTTTTTCAACAAAAAAATGATCACAGTTACAGCCAGCATCCCACAAAAAGCACTTCTGGCCTCATCTTGTGCATATCAAATCGCAAAATCCAAAAAGCCGCACACCATATATTTTTGACTGCTTTATATGGATACATTTTTTTACCCATTTTTCCATAATAAAATATTATGGTGGGTCTTGAGATTGAATTACTTGCCTAGGCGGGTCCCGGAATAAAAAAGTTTGGAAATCCCTGCTATAGTTTAATGTGAAGCACAGATGAGTATTCACGAGGTTAAATTCATGTTCAGTTCAGCGCTTCCCTCTGCTGCACCTGTCAATCACTCTTCATTCATTCACAATTCAAGCAGCGTGTCGCGTTCATGACATCACGAATAAACTTTCTCCAAGACTATTTCTTCCTGTTAGTTTAAATAATCAGTGGAGGAAAGCATTCAGTTTTACATTAAATCGCTTCATTTTGACCTGCAACATGGAGATCATTGCTGTTTCTAAATCATGCGCTGTGTTTCTTAGATCAGCAGATCGCATTTGCAACACAGGAGTAGAGAGGGTTATTACCTGCTCTTCACAAGCAAAGTAGACCTACCTGAAACTTTCAATTAGAAAAGCCTCAATAATACATCGGACAGATCTTCAACACACTGATTTCTTCCTGTTGTTCTGCTGTTTTGAAAGTGTCCGTAGGTACTGGAGGCTTGCACCTGTGTCTCAGTGATGCATCAGGTGCTTCATTCATGCAAACGTCTGCGCAGACGCAACATGCGCCGCTCAGTAAAATTATTCTCACAATGAGTTTCTGTTCTCTCATCCTTCAGACTGAGTTTAATCTCCCGGAGGAATACTTTCAGTGCTGCGAATAGTTTGTTGGGTCACTGTGGTCAAAGTAGTTGATTACATTTAATAGAAATGAAACTGACCGGCGCATATGAATTGTCATTACCAGAAAATAATTTAGCCTAATATAGGCTACTCTGAAACTGTGAATATTTCACTGTCATTTGATTTGTATTAATATTTTATAGAACAGACTCGTTTGTCAGCTTGTGCGCTGATAAGCAGGCCTTGTTTTTTAACTTCACCTCACTTATTCTTGTTTGTTTTTTAGAAAACTGACCAACAAAATACATTAAAATAACCAACAAATTATACCAAACCAAATTAATTTCAAAAGATCATTTTTCAGACATGCTTTCAGTTTCTCCATCTCACTCCTGGTGAGTTTAGGCAAGGAGGGAATGTTTATTAAGTAAAACTGGCCTCAGACGGTTTAGTTTAGTCTGCTTCAAAAATGCAGGAGAATATCAATCATTGCTAAAAGGCAGGTTATATTACCAACGATTAGTGTCAATAGCACAAATAGTGGTGGCCTATTACAGATTTTAAAGAAAAATCTTATTATAAAAAAGGAAACATAAGCTGGACCCCAACAGATCATATCAATGTCATAAGGAATGCATAAATAATGTAGCGTTTATAGTAAGCATCATGTTTAGTTAGATGTTTAGTGGCATCTGTCATATACAGTAGTACTAAACAAGATATATCATTTGAGTTTATCACCAGAACTATAGAAGCTGTACTATGTTAATAATAATAAAAAACAGCACAGTATCAGGATTGGATCTACATTAGTTGATACTTTTGGTATCGGGAATGCTATCGGTCCATCCCTAGTGTACACCATAAAAAGCATGCTGTTTTTCATGAAAGGCTCCTGTATTGTTTTACCTTTATAACCCTGTTCAGCCTCCCTGAGGTCAATCTTGGTGATGGGCTTGAAATCCACATCCCACAGCCTCACGCATCCGTCACGACCACCGGTGGCGAAACCTTCCTCACACGAGTGCATGCTGAAGATCCCAGCCTGCGGAGCAGAGACAGACACAAACTCAGCAACAGGCCATGCTTTCAGGGCTTATGAACGGAGAAAGCAAAACTCCCTCCAGCTTTTGACATATACGCGATTGTAGACTATCTGCTTGTTAAGTGTGACGTCACGCGAAGCGGCTTACGGGTGCAATATATAAGATCCAGCAAGACTAGTGAAATACACTCGGGCCACAGCTCGGGCCAATATGTCTCGGGCCACAGCTGAAAGTAAGTCATTGATTATTTTCACTAGAGCAGTTCCTGCGCTATGATGAGGCCAGAAATCTGACTGAAACGTTCCAAAAATAATTGAGCAAATACAACTTTTTCTAACACAATAAAGCAGGGAGAGTGTGGAAATGCAAATAAAAAAAGAATTTTGGTTCTTGCAACACATTTAAAAAAAAGTTAAGGCATTTTTCACTTTGAAATGTTGCCATTCCTTTTCACAGCATTTAAAAGACGTTTAGGGACTGAAGACTCCAAGTGATGTTGAGTTTCAGGTGTATTGTAGTCCCATTCTTCCTGCAAACATGGCTTAAGGGTACAGTACAGTACGCAGTTCTTGTTGTTGCATTTTGAAATTCAAAATGCGCCACACATTCTCTATTCTAGACAGGTTGGGACTGTGGGCAGGCCAGCCCAGTACCTGTCTCCTCTTTCTCCGCAGTAGGACTTTGTATTGTGTGCAGAATGAGGTTTTGCATTGTCTTGTTGTAATATGCATGGGCGTCCCTGGAAAAGAAGACAGCATATTGTGCTCCAAGATGTCGGTGTACTTTTCAGCATTAATGGTGACACAGAAGTGCAGGTCAGCTTTGCCAAGGGCACTTGACCATGACAGAGCCTGGCTTTTAAATTTGTTGCTGGTATCAGTCTGGATGACCCTTTTCTTCTTTGGTCCGGAGCACACAGCACCCATTTTAAATTGAGTTGAGTTGAGTTAAGTTGAGTTAAGTTGAGTTGAGTTGAGTTGAGTTGAGTTGAGTTGAGTTGAGTTGAGTTGAGTTGAGTTGAGTTGAGTTGAGTTGAGTTGAGTTGAGTTAAATAATAATAAAAAATAAAATAAAATAAAATTTAATTTAATTTAATTTAATTTAATTAAAAAATAATAATAAAATAAAAAATGATAATAAAATAAAATTTAATTAAACAATAAAATTAAATTAAAATTAAATAAAAAATAAATAAAATTAAATAAAATGAAATTAAATGAAAAAATAAAATAAAATAAAAAATAAATCAAATTAATTCATGTTTATACATATACATATATATATATATATATATATATATATATATATATATATAGATAGATAGATAGATAGATAGATAGATAGATAGATAGATAGATAGATAGATAGATAGATAGATAGATAGATAGATAGATAGATAGATAGATAGATAGATATATATATAGCGCATTTCACAATGTAGATTGTGTCAAAGCAGCCTAACATAGTTGAAGCTTAACATAGAGAAGTCGACAGCGCTTCTGGACACTGTTAACATAGGGCTTCCTTTGGCCATCATCATTTTTTAGTGGTATTTGTGGATGTAAGTATGTAGTGTGGTATTGACAAACACTTGCCAATGTAGTCCTGAGTCCATGTGGTGATATGGCTTATAGTTGAATAATGATTCTCTGTTTTCCATACTGTCCCAACTCTTTCTGATTTAAGGTTGTAATTGAAAATTGGTCAAAGATGTTCGTCAAAAATGCATATGACCCATCCTGTCTTCATGTTTTAGTTAAAATTATATTACACAACGAACAAATCCGCACATTTGAAGGCACTTTAGTTGCTCTTTATGCACTAATATATCTGTTTTGCACCACACAAACAGATCAGAGATGGGAATGGAGTGATGGTTAATTTCTCAGATGATGTGCGATATCGTGTAGGATGTGTTAAGCTTCACTCACGCCGTGCGCTGCCTGTATGGTTCGCGTCAGGTTGAGTCCTTTCCACACATAGATATCTCCGTTTAGAGCGCCTGAATACGTCACTTCTTCTTTAGCTGTTGCCAAGCACAAGATGGTCTGCAGGTCTCCCGTCTTCCCGAAAATCCCTCGCTTTGGTGTCAGTGCATTTCCACATAATGCCCAGAACTACGGAAGAGAGATGAAGATGAGCACATGAGAAACGACTCCTAATTTACTGCCAGTTTGTTCCTCACACAAATCTGAAGAGATTAATTCAGAAAAAAATAAATATAGTGCATGCAGCAAATGAGGGAGCAAATAAGACAAATAATATTTAATAATAAAACTTTAATAAAAGCATGGTATAAAGTATAATAACCATGATTATTATTAAATTATTAAATACAATAAGATTAATAATGTATTACTAATTAATAACACAGGTATTAAACATTAACAGGTTTAACAAACATCAGTAAACAGTTCACTTTTTATGTGTAGCCAAAACCCCATTAAATTATTAATTGAATAGCAAAATGCATTTGTTTAAGTAAAAAATAAATTATTTTTTAATTGATTTATAAAATACAGAACTCAGAAAAAGGAAAACAGAATTTTAGAATAATTTAAAAAACTACAGGACACTACAAGCATAAAAATGCAAAAAAAAAAAAAAGTATTTTACAAAATAAATAAATCATTGAATAAATTAATGAACTACTCAAGCTATATATTATTTCTAACATTTATTAATTCATTCATTTGTTCATTCATTTTCATTTTCATTCAAGGGCCCACGCACTTTCCGCTTCCCCCTACCCGCTCTTAACTTTTTACTTTGGTCCACAACACCACTCCATTCTAGACTCTTCACTTTCATTCAAAAAATAATAATTCAGGAAAAAAATTATTTGTAATTGAAAAAAAAGTTAAGAATATAGGAAAAAAAATTATTAAATTTGGTCAAAAAGTTAAGAATATAAGACAAAATTAATTAAATTTGGTCAAAATATTAATATAGGAAAAAACTAAATTAAATTTGGTAAAAAAAAAAAATTAAAATATAGGAAAAATGAATGAAATTTGGACAAAAAGTTAAGAATATAGGACATAATTAATGAAATTTGGTCAAAATATTAATATAGGAAAAAATTAATGACATTTGGACAAAAGGTTAAGAATATAGAAAAAAATTATGAAATTCTGACAAAAAGTAAAAAAAATATAGGAATAAAATATAAAATTAGGAGAAAAAGTTAAGAATATAAGAAAAAAATTGGTTAGAAAGATAAGAATAATGGAAAAAAAATTATGAAATTTGGTCAAAAAGATAAGAATAACAGGACAAAATAAATAAAATTTGGTTAAAAAGTTAACAATATAACACAAAATTAATGACCAAAATTAATTTGGTCAAAAAGTTAGGAATATAGAAAAAATATAATGAAATTTGGACAAAAAGTTAGGAATATAGGAAAAAATAAATAAAATTTGGTTAAAAAGATTAGAATGATGGAAAAAACTAATGAAATTTGGAAAAAAAAATTTTTTTTTAAAAAGATAGGAATATAGGAAAAAAATAAATCAAATTTGGTCAAAAAGATAAGAATACTGGAAAAAGATAATGAAACTTGGTCAAAAGATTATCATATAACACAAAATTTATGGAATTTGGTCAAAAAGTTAGGAATACAGAAAAAAGATAATGAAATTTGGACAGTATAAGTTAACAATATAAGAAAAAATAAATGAAATGAAAGACAAAAATGATGAAATTCGGTCAAAAAGTTAAAAATAATTGAAAAGAACTAATGGAATTTGGTCAAAAACAAAGCAATTTATAAAAATATTCTGCTCATAATTAACATTCGATAACAATAATTCCAATTATTAATTTTCAACCTCTTACTCTCACAATCAAAAAGTAAATTGCATTATTGTCATATTTTTCTCTCTAAGTTTTTCAGTATGTTAATGCATTTTTGAAGTCTACAAAAAAGGCAGAGCATCTGCGATAAAGACAAAAACAACAAAGGAAAGCAGGAATAAATGAGAGCTTGTTTTCCACCGACGCCTCATTTATTTGTTTGCAGGAATCGTCTTGGGTTGAACTGAACTCAGTCTCAGGGGTTCCACTCACTTTAATGTGCTTGACTCCGCAGCTCACCAGCCGGTGTGGCAGAAACGGGTCCCACGAAATATCAAAGATCTGAAAGCACAAACACGTCAGATCCAAACACAACTGGAGGAAATGAGGCACAAACACCTGCTAGGAATCATCATGAAGCCTTTAAATCAGCATTGCTTTCTTCTTCATCCCAGATGTTAAAAAGGGCAAATAACCGGATTCCTTCACTATTAGTGATGAACACATTTAATGTGATGTGTGTATGCATAGTAAATGTACAATGTAAAGGATTCATTCATTCATTCATTTTCTTTTCGGCTTAGTCTCTTTATTAATCTGGGGTTGCCACAGAGGAATGAACCACCAACTTATCCAGCATATGTTTTACGCAGTTGCTGACCTCCCAGCTGCAACCCATCACTGGGAAACATCCATACACACTCATTCACAGACACACACACACACACTACAGACAATTTAGCTGAGGTGATCGTGCTACCCACTGCACCAACGGGGATGCCCTTAATGTTAATACACAATCTAAAACGAAATACACAATTTTCTGTGTACAAAACTAAAGATAATTCAAAAAAACAAATAAATACCAAAACATGAAGTATCCTAGGTATGATATGGTCTTAAAAAAACATGCAAGTATGAAAAAAATCAATAGTGAGGCAGCTTGTTAAAAAAATGATTTATTCTGATGCTTTTAATTATTGTAAATAGTTTATTATTTAATAAAATAAGAGTACTGCCAAACATAAAGCACATACCATTCAAAACATGGACATTTGTTGACATGCGTCCATTATTAAAACGTTCCTAATAAGCTAAAGTATGCTTTCAGATTAAAAATATTAGGCTTTGACTAATTTATGAATGCTTAAACTATGCTGTTTTCTTCATAAACTTGCATTTTTTGACGTAAATGTATATACTTTACATGCAAACATGCATATGCACCTGATTATTTGCATGAATTATCTGCAGAGAAACATTTCTTTAAAGCATTCGGTTGGTCACTGGTGAAATTACATGAGTTCATTTAGTTTAGTTTAGTTTATTTGTTTACAGGGTCAATGCACATCAATAAACATTACTGTAGAATGTGCCAGAATTAGCCAAGAATGGCTATTTTTCATCCGTAGACCCCTTAAAGAATGTTAAAAAGTCACACCTAAAATATAAGCACAACATTAAACATTAAATACACTTTCATATAAAAAATACAGTTAAAAAAGTAAAGAAAAAAAAAAAAAGAACAGACTGATGACAGCAGAGGACAAAAAGCCAAAGACAACAGTACAAATGTGTCAAGAATACAGTACTAATGCTGATTTGTCAATAACCAATTTTTAAAATGAGACTGAAAAGAACGAAAAGTGCATGATCTACTAATTGTTAGTGGGACTATTCCCTAGCAGCTCTCACTGAAAATACAGATTGACTGAATTTACCCTTTTTTGAAAGGAATAATGCAATAATAATAATAATAATAAATAATAATAAAAGTTATTTTTAATAAAAGCTATTGCCAAATGCGTTTAATTGAAAATAGTGTGTTAAATTTAAAATCTGTGAAGCTTTTGAGCTGAAGACAAGCCACAGGGAGTCTTCTAAAGTCTGTCATCATTTGTCTGACTGTGTTTGAGATTAGAAAATGCTCCTCTGTGCTGTATTTTACCACAGTATCCCATTCATAATGCTCATAACCAGTCTTTATTCACATGGCTGAGGTGTAGCATCTGTTGCTATGGAAACAGTCTAGCTGCATAAGGCATGTGCTGCATTTTTCACTTGGTTAGGAGTCAAGTCTTTATAGCATCAAGGATGAAAAGCTGAACAGGGCTGCGCAAAACCATTAACCATGCTCACGCTCAATTAAAGTGACAGTGCATTGATAATGACCAAAACACATTGAATGACAGTAAAAAGTAGCAATTTTACCCAATAAATGGGTTAATTTATTTCCTTTATTTAGCCAGGAGATCACATTGAGACAGTACTGTCTCTTCTTCCAGTGAGACCTGGTCAAGATGGCAGGCAGCACATAAAGTTTCATATAAAAATCACAAACAATACCACAAAATTACAAAATCACCATTCTTAAAAACATCAGCTCATAACAAACAATTGCAGGTGTCCTTTAAAATGTTGTATAAAAGATGTTTAAAAGTACTCAGAGTCGGAAGAGTGTTAAGATTGAGCTGATTTTGCAGGTCATTCCAAGCCCTGGGAGCGTGAACGGAAAAAGCACGTTTGCCAAGTTCTGATAATGCCCTTGGAACTATCAGACGAATACATGAACCAGATCTAGTATGTTGATTGTTGGTGTGAAATGTTAATAAATTAAAAATATAGGATGGTAATTTACCTAAAAGAGCTTTTAAAATAAATAAGTACAGATGTAATTTTGTCAAATGGTTTATATATAGTCATTCAAATTAACTTAAAACGATTAAAAACGGCACAAACATTTATTTAGGCCCGAACTACAAAACCAAATGTAAAACAATTTTAGTATCATTTTTGCTTAAGTTGCACACTAGTGTTTCAGGAGAAAGGAAATAGAATATTTACGGGATTTGTAGTCCATAGCGAAGTGTATTGTGGGTAGTGTAGTTCGACACGCATGCTGGATGATGCTAACTCGCTGTGTTCTGTGCAACTGAGCAGAGGAAGAAAGTTTTAATCGGCTTTGTTTTATGTTCACTCGAGTTATTCCTACCGGGAGCTGTTTGCACTGTGAATCTGACAACACGAAAATAAGTAAAAGAATGGCATGCATTGGTTACTTTTGTCCGTCTCATCCACGAGCATGAATTAACGAGCTGTGTAAAAGTATATCTGATAAATGTATATTTGATCATGTATAAATATCATTATAACTATATTGTATAAATATTATTATATATAGGCTTACAGCAACCTGATAATCAAAAAACAAATGACATGATATCACAGGCGATTGTCTTCTGACTGTAGAACTTCTCATATAAGTTAGCTTGAGAAGCATACAGTTCTATTTGATCTATAAAATTTGTAAAATAAACATTTGCAGGTTAAAGAAACAGCATAGGAGGGGCCTTGGTGCAGATGAAAAGATTAAACAGTGTATTTGTATATAGAGAGGCATGGGTAACTAGATAGAATAGACAGAGACAAAAGTTATGAGGACACCTGCAAGACAATTGGCACATTACACCTTTGACTTTACTCACTGTGCTCTGTCTTGGCCTATCAGAGAGCACTGTGCTGTCTTACCCTATTGGAGAACAGCGCATTCAGCCTCAGCCTATCAGAGAGCAGTGTGCACGGTCCTTACCTATCTGAGAACAGTGTATAATCTCAGCCTATCAGAGAGCAGTGTGTTCAATCTTACCCTATCAGAGTGTCCCGTGGCGGTGGCCAAGACACGTCCTTTCTTCCAGTCCCAAACGCACACAGTGTTTTTGGCATCGAGTCCCACTGAAGCCAAACGCTGACAGGACAAAACAAACAGATTGGGATCAAAACCTTACGTCACATAAACCTTTAAATGGAAGTTACCTGGTGGCTGAAAAACACTTGCTGTGCATATAACCCATTTGGAAACAAAGGAGCAGAATAACTGGCATGGTGATATTTGAAATGCAAGTTGTTGAGACTTATGAATGAGGATGTTGAAAACTGTATAAGGGTGTTTGTGGTGTACGCAGTGATTTAGTGAAACTCTGACCTGTCCGTCGGCATCGAAAGCCAGACAGGCCACACCGTGAGTGTGAACGTCCCTCAGGATGGAGACTGTCGTCAGAGCGTAGGAGTCCCAAACACAGATATACGGATCCTTCCCAACCTGACCGGTGGCCACCTGGATCTTATCCGGATGAAGAGCCAGACTGAGAAAACAAGAGGACAGCACACGCACACACACTGTAAGTTACACTGACAGAAATCTGCAGAGAGGAGAAAATAGTACCGTAAAATTGAGGTAGCAAAGGTTTTATAGTATTTATTATTTATTTATTAATATCTTTGGTTACACTTTACATTCATTCATTCATTTTCCTTTATTTATCAGGACGAATATGAACCACCACCTATTCCAGCATATGTTTTATGCAGTCGATGCCTTTCCAGATGCAACCCAGTACTGGGAAATACCCATACACACTCATTCACAAACACTCATACACTACAGCCAATTTTAGTTTATTCAATTCTCCTATAGCGCATGTGTTTGGACTGTAATGGAAACCGGAGCACCTGAAGGAAACCAGGAAACAACACAGGGTGAACATGCAAACTCCACACGGAAACGCCAACTGACCCAACCGGGACTTGAACCAACACCCTTCTTGCCGTGAGGCGACAGATAACTTACAGATAAGAACAAAATAGCTTACGATAAAGCACTAAAATTAGTACAAATAACTGTATTGATAAAAAATATTAAACAGAAAATGTAAAATTCAAGAGAAATACAAAAATGTATAAAATTTTATTGAAATTTTGTAGTTTGTCTTTTTTTTTCATTATTTCGAATGAATTTAAATGTAAAATCTTTCCATTTCTGAAAATGTTCGTGACTAAAATATTATTTTGATAAATCGGTTTTGTTCAAATGCACCTATATTTACTGAAAAATTGATAGAAAATGGGGTGAGCACTGTATAGTGCATATTGTTTTATACATATTTAAAATACTTTAGCAATACTGCAACTAAACAGTCATGCTAATAAAGTTGAATAATTAATCTGACGTGGAGTGAAAGAGCTTTACTGATGAAGACAGCAGAGTGTGACGTGTGCTGATGAACAGTTTCTGCTCTGGTGACGAGAGATGTTTCCCTTTATGCTGATGTAATGCATCGCCTCGGGTGGTTTATTGCTTTATTAAAGACAATGGCTGCTGATGTTGTGACTCCAGCAGCAGAGTGTGTGTGTGTGTGTGTGTGTGTGTGTGTGTTTTACAGTAAGCGTGATATTTATCAGATCAGTGACAGCAGGAGAGCAGACTTTAATCACAGATCAAACACTGATTGCACACACCTAAAGAGAGAGAAAGTGTGTGTGTGTGTGTATATGTGAGAGAGAGAGCTATATATATAGGCGACATGGTGGCTCAGTGTTTAGCACTGTGGCCTTACAGTAAGAAGGACGCTGGTTTGAGCCTCGGCTGGGTCAGTTGGCGTTTCTGTGTGGAGTTTGCATGTTCTCCCCGTGTTAGCGTGGGTTTCCTCCGGCTGCTCCGGTTTTCCCCACAGTCCAAACACATGTGCTATAGTATAGGGGAATTGATTAACCAAATAGGGCATAGTGTGTTTGTTAGTGTGTGTGTTAGTGTGTGTGTATGTGAGAGTGTATTATTGTGTGTATTATCATTAGGTTGTATATTTGTATGCTTTAATACATACAGACAAGTGATGCCAATACAGCTCAAATTTAAACATCTGTACTTGAGAGAGAGAGAGTCTGTGCGTGTGTCTGTGTGAGACAGTGCAGTGTGTGTAGTGTTTGTGTGTGTGTGATGATCAGAGTCGCTCCATGTCCACTGGCATGAAACCCGAGCCAGCAGCTGTGTGTGTGCCAACACGATTATGAGCTACACATGTGCTGCCATCACCCCCCTGTGTGTGTGTGTGTGTGTGTGTGTGTGTGTGTGTGTGTGTGTGTGTGTGTGTGTGTGTGTGTGTGTGTCACCCGCAGGAAGCAGAAATCACTAATGAGCTCGCTTTAATATCTTAATTGTTTCTCCTAGACTGCAGAGACATCAAATGAGCAAATGCAGATTCTGACTCGAGTCAAAAATGAAATGGAAAATGACCCAGTTCCTGTGTGCAGAGTCACTTCATTCAATCAGTACCTGACACAGAAAATATCAGAGTCTTAACAAACTGGGTTTCGCTCTGACGGCCACTGCGTTCAGATTTTTCATATTTATAAGTATGTATTTAATAGTGGTGGGCCGTTAATAGTTTTTCTCTTCTTCTTCATTCTTTTATATCACATTTTACCTGTTTTTGTGTTTTTTTTACTCATTTTTATTATTTGTTTTTATTTTTATTTTACTTGTTTCTTTTATTCTTGTTTATGTAAAGCACTTTGAATTGCCACTGTGTATGAAATGTGCTATATAAATAAACTTGCCCTGCCTAGTGTTACCATGCTACGTTAGCGCGAGACTATTATCGGGCGATAAAAAAAAATATCGCCGTTGATCTATTCTTAACGTTGGGTTGGGAGCTGGGTCTATTCTACGCGAGCTATGATGACTTTCACCTTGATATTTTAGCACGGATGTACACCTGACCGGTGATCTGTCTGACAAACTTGTGCCCTTCTGGATCAAATCAGCAGGATGCCCTTCTGGATCTGTCACTTACTCTGAAGACACTACTGAGTACACTTACATGGACATCTGTAGTCTAATTATTTGCTTTAATTGACAATAATATAATGAAGGTGTTTACGTGAAGTGCTTTCATGTAAGAGTTTCCTGTCATTTTGGCTGACTTTAACTGCAGTTCAGCAGTTTCACTTCCAATCATGAACATTTCATTCATGCCCCCATTCATGCTATTTCATTCATGCTATTAGACGCAAGTAAGGAGTAAGGACTGGTGAGAGTGGTATGGAATTTAATAACGCACGCCAAATGGAGAGAAAAAAAACTTCTGTGTGTGTGGATCTTGTGGGAAAATATGACAGTAATAGATTGATTGCGGTGTTTACTTCAGTAATGTCACTAATATCTGCATACTCCACATGTCTTAATTCCATTTCTGTTTAGTTCACTGATGACTTTAGTAGCAGCTCGGCACAAGAGCTGTTATAACGTTTTGCAGCACGCTGTTTAAATAGCAAATGCATTTGCGCTCATACTGTAGGTGTTCTGGTCTAAAAAAGGAGGTGTGTTGAGGCGCATTGCTGGAGCGTTGCTATTTTGAGGAACTAAACTACACTGTTCAATAGACCAGGATAAAGCAGGTCTAAAGTCCAGCAAAGAGTGGGTTAGTTGTGCGCCTAGCTTACACACTGCTTAATGCACACAGGATGTACAGCAATACGCAAATATCTTTACAAATGAAAAAGAATCAAAGGATTAAAATATTACAAACATATTATTTTCTAGCCTACATAAATATAAACCCCACCGCCTCCATGCCTTCTTCATTTCGGGAGGCTTTTTCAGTTCATTCGTAACAATTTGCTTTTGTATAATGTTATTATTATTAGCAGTATTATTTATTATATCCATATTTATATTGATTTGTCCATCTGTCAGGTTTTATACCATATGTGTATTAGGATATAACTATTAGGATATGTGTATTAGGATATGAATTATGTAGGCTAATGGATGTCTGTGTGTACAACACGTTTCTTTATTCACGAGAGTGAAAGTAAAGGATGAGGAGGCTCATCTCTCATTCTCGCGCTGTAGATGCTCTGTTAACTGTTTTCTCACTAGTGAAGTGTTCAGTTTTTGCACTTACAAAGTCTGTCATGTAAATAGCAAATGCGCCATGGCACGACGCAACTGACTCTTAAAGGGAATAGGAGATGAGACTCTGATTGATTTATTCTCAAAACACACCTATAACTCATTAAGAGAATAAGCTCAACCCTGTTAGACCGTGCGCCACAGCGCAAAGCAGATTTTTCTGTCCTTTCAAGAGTTCACACTTAGCTGATGATTGATAATAAGGCTAGTTTGGCGTGCTGTCCCAGGAGAGAGCCCTAAGCTTATAAGATCCTCGAGCCCTGGGCTCCCTCCCGTTGCAAGGCGAGAGGGGAGTTTGAGCTCAGGTAGATCTCGATGACTCCCCCTCTTGCTTGTTGTAGCTAAGTGTCAGATATGGATGCTGAAAGGTGTACTCAGAGTTTAGCTAAAGTATTTGGATTAATTGTTTAGATTGCTTGTTTTTAAACTGTGGGAGGAAACCGGAGGACCCGGGGAAAACCCACGCGACCACGGGGAGAACGAGCAAACTCCGCACAGAAATGCCGTCTGGTTTGGAAAGGAATTAAACCAGGGGCATTCTTGCTGTGAGGCAACAGCGCTAATCGCTGGCCACCGTGACACCCGTTTGAAAGGAGGGAAAGTAGGGTTGGGTGGGGGGGGGTTTCTTCAAGACGAAGATATTGAGATGAGAAAAGTCTGGTTATTTATAGTGAGTTAAGGATCGTCTGATAGGATAATCAGTCGTTAGCTAAAGTTGGAACAGCTGTGAACAATCATAAGCGCGTGATCCTCTCGAAATTTGTTTATAAATAAACTTCACTAAAATAGCAAAAGTGGATTCCTTACTGTTTGCTATGAAATGCAAAAACTTTGAAGCTCACAATCTTCAGAACGCAGATAAAACCTTATAATTCCAAGCTGACGATATGTGCAATGTTTACTGCAACGTGTATTACATTTCATAAATAACTTTGCATTGCCATTTTGCATATTACATTTGGAAATGAATTATGCTACTCAAATGCTTTCTTATATTGGGGCTGCACAGTATATATAAAAATGATCATTATTGTGATAATAGTATATGCAATATTCATATCACAGAGATGTGCAATCAAATACTTTTTTAATGGATGCACTGAAATGAAAACTATGCAATCGAATACTCTTAATCCCAACATGACAAACTAATAATGAAAATAGCAAAACATATAATAAATGACTGAAAAAGGGAAGAAAAGCAATAATAAAGTAAGCTCAAATCACTAATTTCATTGATTACAAACGAGTTATTAAAGGTATTATGTTTAGAAATGTGGGAAAAATATATACAAGTGGACGAATATTATGGAGGGCTAATAAGAGACACTAAAACAAATCCTTACTGTACATGCAAATCTAAACCCAGAACACTAACAAAGAACTGGTACAGTATAATCACCATAGCAACAACATTGAACACCTATGACAACCAGGAACAATACAACCAAGGCTGAAAGTATAAGATAAGATTATTAGTAGAGGAATGAGTGAGAGACGGAGGAACACTGACCCTGAACAACACTGACTTCAATACACATCTCTATACAGCTTAATGAATCAATAACACATTCACAGTATGTTGCTGCCAAGGCCATGTTTTCCACTGAAGAGATTAAAGTGGTTTATTAGATATATCATCAATATTCTGAATTAGCGTTTACTTTAGATTTGTGTGATATTTTATTATTATTTCTATCCAGTTTTCATTTGGAGACATTTTCATTTCAGTTTTAGCACTTTAAGCATTTCAGCTTAAATGTATTACTAGGTTCTACAGGTTTTTGGTAACAAGATACATTCGTTTCCTTAAGTTGATGCATTAACTATCATCAACTTATCATCAACTCACTGGCCACTTTATTAGGTACACCTTACTAGTATCAGGTTGGACCCCCTTTTGGCTTCAGAACTGCCTTAATCCTTCATGGCAGAGATTCAACAAGATACTGGAAATATTCCTCAGAGATTTTGCTCCATATTAACATGATAGCATTACACAGTTGCTGCAGATTTGTCGGCTGCACATCCATGATGCCAATCTCCCGTTCCACCACATCCTAAAGATGCTCTATTGGTTTGAGATCTGGTGACTCTGGAGGCCATTTGAGTAACATTGTCATGTTTAAGAAAACTGAGTCTGAGATGATTCACGCTTTATGACATGGTGTGTTATCCTGCAGGAAGTAGCCATCAGAAGATGGAGACACTGTGCTCATAAAGAGATGGACATGGTCAGCAGCAATACTCTGTGGTGTTGACATGATCAGTTGGTACTAATGGACCCAAAGTGTGCCAAGAAAATCTCCCCCACACCATTATACCACCACCACCAGCCTGAACTTCTGATACGAGGCAGGATGGATCCATGCTTTCATGTTGTTGAGGCCAAATTGTGAGCCGAGCATCCGAATGTGTCAGCAGAAATGGAGACTCATCAGAGCAGGCAACGTTTCTCCAATCTTCTATTGTCCAGTTTTGGTGAGCCTGTGTGAATTGTAGCCTCAGTTTCCTGTTCTTAGCTGACAGGAGCGGCACCCGGTGTGGTCTTCTGCTGCTGTAGCCCATCTGCCTCAAGGTTGGACGTGTTGTGTGTTCAGAGATGCTCTTCTGCAGACCCCGGTTGTAACGAGTGCTTATTTGAGTTACTTTCAATCAGCTGGAGCCAGTCTGGCCATTCTCCTCTGACCTCTGGCATCAACAAGGCATTTGAGCCCACAGAACTGCCGCTCACTGGATATTTCCTCTTTTTCAGATCATTCTCTCTAAACACTAGAGATGGTTGTGGGTGAAAATCCCAGTAAAATCAGCAGTTTCTGAAATACTCAGAGCAGCCCGTCTGGCACCAACAACCATGCCATGTTCAAAGTCACTTAAATCCCCTTTCTTCCCTATTTTGATGCTCGCTTTGAACTGCAGCAGATCGTCTTGACCGTGTCCACATGCCTAAATGCATTGAGTTGCTGCCATGTGATTGGCTGATTAGAAACTTGCGTTAACGAGCAATTGAACAGGTGTACCTAATAAAGTGGCCAGTGAGTGTACTAGTGTTTCTTCCCATACTGATAAACTTCCGGTGATTGGTTATTGTGACTTTTTTCCATTTTATACGGTTCCTTTTACAGCATGGATGTTGTAGTGTAATTAAAATACAATCAGTTAAATAGAATTTGGCACTCATTTAGTTGCCAAAGCGTAACAGAAGAGAGAGGAATCAGAATCAGCAGGATCAGCAGGCTAGTGCAGAAGCTCTATTGAATATACCTGGGGTAAAATAAATGCTCATATTTTAAAGACATGGCGGGGGAAATGTAATTTAATGCAGTGCTTCTTGTACAATCTGAGACCCACTTTGTACTGTATATCATATAGCCAGTGGAGATCGCTGATTTTTAAAGAAAACAGAGCTTAAACGCGCTGATTTTGCAATGGTATACAGTTCACTGGAAACGCTTAACCCAGGTTACTGACAAATTAAAAGTCCTTTAGCATACCTACGCATTTACCCTATTAATAAACATACCAGCTGTATTAACTAATACAATACTTTAAATATATATATTTAGTAATAAATACAATTTTTGCAATAAAATTAGTTATTTAATTTGAGTTAATCACTTTAAGCTCCTACACACCTGGACGCTTTTCGTTTGCGTTTATCGTCAGTGTTTAACATAACTTTTTTCAGCATTCAAACCCAAGCGATTCTCACTGGCGTCAAGCAGAAGAGTATGCAAAACGTTGACGTTAGATGGCGCTACACAACTTTAAGCTTCCGACACCCGCTTGTAACACAGAAGCAGAGGAAGAGAGGAAGTTCACACGCTTGTTGTTGAAGGCTGTTTCTCAATATGCGTTCTTCAGCGTCTTGCGTTTCTTTCATCTTGCGTCCTCGTGTAAAGTCATCATCAGCTGCCAAAGTTCAGTTCCAATACTCAAGACCTCAAGAACAGAGGATGCGTGAAACTTCCCGGATGAGATCTTGATATCGAGGACGCACTGATGCAGACTTGAGCATCGAACTCGCTCTGGAAGTCCCAGAAGTCATTGCGACTGGAGGTGGGAAGCGCAGCATTTAGCAATTTAGATTTATTATTAAAGTTCAGAGATTTAACTTATTTTCCTCAGGAGTTTCCCTAAATGAAATGAAAGTAAACATTACTGCGGACATCTTAATAAAGGAATAAACACATTAAGGGTGTTTGTTTGCTAAAATTTGTATTTTGTAGTTTTATTTATATTGTGCAGAGTATATTGATAATGTTGTTATGCAGGGTATATATTTTAAAAAGAGGGGAAAACAATAAATCGTTGTATGGGTGCTTTAATGTTTAAATAATTTACCATTCATAACGTGTGAAGGTCAAGTGACCATCAGGAAGAACGCAGCATCTCGTTTCTCAAAGGACGAGTTCTCTGCCTTCGCGGTCTCCTGAGTTCATTGTGTTGGTGTGCACGATCACAACAGCTATGTTTCAATCCAAAAATGCAAATAAACTTTATGCGCAAAACTGGATAATCGCATAAAAGTTGTGCGAATGAAGCATCGTTTCTATCCAACGAGTCAAAGCAAACAAAATCGACACTTCCTGATTAACTGGCGCCAAATATCCACAGTAAAAACTGCATTTGCTGCAGTAGGAGAAGCTGCATCAATCTTTACTAAATGAATGCGCCTCAGAAGGTGGTAAGGTGTTTTATAATGACCAAAACAACATTTCAGATGTTTTATAATGTGCTCAGCCTGACGTTTTGTCCATTCACACACATTTTAAGCATCACATGATCTCTTTTAACAAAATCACATGACCTTTTTTAATGCGCATGCTGGAGTTTGTGCGGTAAAAGTGTTTCCATCGCAGTTTATGCGCGTCTTTTCTTATCGAATAAAAAGTTTATCCTACCCAGTTAGACGCATACGTTTTTTATGCGCATTTTCAAAATTTATGCGCATCATGGCGTTTCCATTAACTGGTTTTTTATGTGCATTTGCAAAATGCGCATAAAATAGGTGGATGGAAACATAGCTATTGACCCTGTTTTTAGTCACGAGACGTAAATTGTTGACGCAAAATGCAAGCAAAAAACATCTCTGTGTGCACGAGCCTTTAGTTTTGTTTATTTTAGTTTTAGTTTTAGCATGATTTTAATCACCAGAAATATTTTAAACAGGTTTTTAGGAAAAAAGTTAATGCTATTCTGTTTGCTAATGCTAAAATTATGCACATTAAATGTTATAAGAATCATGTAATTAACTATAAAAATTTAAAATAAATTGCTTTGTATGAATTTGGAGGGAAATGTGATTAATTTTAACCATAATTTCTTCATTTCTTTGATTTGAATTATAGTTTGTCATTGAAACATGTGCAGCGAGTTTTAGCCAATCGGTGTGTGTGTGTGTGTGTTTGTGGATGGTCATATGTGTCAGGTCGCCTGTGGCCATTTAACCGCTGTGAGTCAGTGAACAGCTGAGGGATTGTGGGAAAATCTGCAGTCAAATGAACACCAGTGACTGTAGGCCTGAAGGGGGAAAGCTGAAAGCAAAATCAAGAGCGGAAGACCACCATGCCAGTGTGTGTGTGTGTGTATGTGTTATTTTTGTGTGTGCATGAGTGTACAGTACGTGTGTTTATGTGTGCACGTGTCTGTGTCAGTTTTGTATGAATGTATAGTAAGTGTGTTAGTGTGTAAATGTGTTCTAGTGTGTGTGTGTGTTTGCACGTGTCTGTCTATGTAGAGTACTCACATGTGAATGCCTGTGTGTACGCAATGCGTGTGTGTGTGAGTGTTTTGTGTGTATGAGTGTACAGTAAGTGTGTTAGTGCTTACATGCGTTTGATTATGCATGTGTGTGTGAGTGCGTGTCTGTAAATTCTTGTATGCAGGTGTTTGTGTGTGTGTGTGAATGCATGTGTATATGTATGTGCTTGTTTATGTGTGAGTGTGTGTATATGTGTGTGTCCGCATAACTGAGTTTGTGGATGTATGGGTGTACAGTAAGTGTGTAAATGTATTCTAGTGTGTGTGTGTGTGTAGGTGAGCACATGTCTGTCTATGGAGTACTCACATGTGTGTATGTGAATGTGTATGTGTGTATGCATAACAGTTTTGTGTATGTATGAGTGTAAATGTATCTTAGTATGTGAGTGTGTATCTGTAAATGTGTGTGTGAATGCATGTACAGTATGCATGTATTTCTCTGTGAATGTGTGAGAGTGTGTGTGAATGCATTTGTGTATATATAAATGCATGCATGTATGCATGTGCAAATGTGTGTGTGTGTGTGTGTGTGTGTGTGTGTGTGTGTGTGTGTGTGTGTGTGTGTTTCTCCGCAGATGTGCTGGAGTCTTTGTGCAGTGAAGTGGCTCATCGTGACGGAGTGTTTGAAAGAGCCTGGAATATTTCCAGCTGCCTGAGAGACACAACCAGCCAAAGCTTTCTGATATCAAGCTGAAGAAAAACATTCAAGAAATAAATAAATAAATAAATAAATAAAAAGATGAATTACAGGAATAACTGACCACAAATCATTCTTAAT